ATATGCGGTGATATATCCATATGATGGAATATTACTTAACAATAAAAAGGAATGTACTACCAATACACAAACAACATGCACTAATATCAAAGGCATTATGCCAAGTGAAAGAAATCACACTCAAAACCTACACAGTGTATGATTGCATTTATATAAAATTCTTAAAAGGCAAAATTATAGGACAGGAAACAGATCTGGTTACTGCCAGCGACTGGCGATGGAGGAGGCGCTGGTTACAAAGGAGCATAATGAAATTCCTTGCGGCAGTAGCAATGTTCTGAATCTTGACTAGGGTGGTGGTTCCAAAACTGTGAACATTTGTCAAAACTAACAGAACTATGGACTAAAATATGCTCGTTTTATCATACATAAATTATGCTGCAATAAAGTTGATTCAGAGAGGAAAAGAAGAGAATCAGTGTTTCTATCAAAGTCCTAAGAAAGAAAGAACCCCTTCTGAAGAAACAAAAGCCCTTAAGTTTTCCCCCTATAATTGATGTCTTTTTGAACAAAAAAAAATGATGAGCAATTCACAGGGAAATCTGAACAAGAAAACTGATAAACTTAACCTCTGATTTCTCAGAGAACATAGGCTTTCAGTCCAGAGACAACATAGACACTATGATTTGGGCAAGTATAAAAATGAAATAAAGATTTTTGTGTAAATCATCAGAGGCAAACATAAATGTCTGTCTTAATTTTTACATGTAAAAAACATGAAAATTAACAGTAAGATGGCATAATCTATATACAAATATTCTGTACTTGAACATTCATTAAAGGTTATTTCTCTAGTGTTTGATGGTGCTCTGCTCATTATATGTGCCACTGCATTCTAATCTGGCTGCCTAGAGTTAAATTACTACTCTGTGAAGTTGTGTCCCAAGTTCATTATAATTTTTGCAAATGACAGTAAAAGAAATTGGTCTTTGTACCTTGGGTACCTTTCCATTTTTATTTTCTGTGAAATCTATAATAATAAAAGGGTAATATGCTAATTAGAGCAGATGTCTTCCAGATGTCATTCTGGACATCCTTCCTAATGAAGCCAGGGCTGGAGGGAAGCAGCCCAGGTCCTGGGTGGTTGCTGGCGGCCAGAGGAGGTAAGCCCAGGTCTTGGGTGCCTGATGGAAGCCAGTGCTGGCAGCCAGGGGAAGGAAGACCTACTCTTGGACAAATTTTGGTGCATAGGGCCTCTAGTCTACACTAATAAAAGAGAAAAATGGTAATTGGCGTACGATGCTACCCTTTTCATTGGCTAATCAGGGCTATATGCAAATTAACTGCCACAGAGAAAAGCCAAATTAGTACACTGTCAGATGGCAGTTAACTGACAACAAAAATGGCAGTTAATTTGCATATGTAGGCACAATGCAGGGAGGCGAAAGGGGAAGCAGGAAGAAGCCCCCTGCCACTGACAATGATCGGAAACCCAGGGGGGAGCTAAGAGCTGGGGAGGGGCTAAGAGCTGGGGGGGCAGGGCCGCCTTTGCCCAAATTTTGGTGCATAGGGCCTCTAGTCTACACTAATAAAAGAGAAAAATGGTAATTGGCGTACGATGCTACCCTTTTCATTGGCTAATCAGGGCTATATGCAAATTAACTGCCACAGAGAAAAGCCAAATTAGTACACTGTCAGATGGCAGTTAACTGACAACAAAAATGGCAGTTAATTTGCATATGTAGGCACAATGCAGGGAGGCGAAAGGGGAAGCAGGAAGAAGCCCCCTGCCACTGACAATGATCGGAAACCCAGGGGGGAGCTAAGAGCTGGGGGCAGGGCCACCTTTGCTCTGTCCCCCAGCCATGATTGGAGAATCAGGCGCCCTTGCCGCCCTGGCCAGTGATAGCAGGAAGTAGGGGTGGAGCCAGCGATGGGAGCTGAGCACGGTCGAAGCTGGCAGTCCTGGGAGCTAGGGGTCCCTTGCCTGGGCCTAAAGCAGAGCCCACAATCACGGGGCTGCTGCAGCTGTGGGACCCCACTGCCCGGGCCAGATGCCTCGGCCAGAGGCGATAGGCCTGGGCAGGGGCAGAGCGGGAGATCGCGGGGAGCTGGGAGTCCCCTGACCAGGCCTAATGCCTTGGCCAGAGGCATCAGGCCTGGGTGGGGGGCGCG